TTAAAAAAAAAAAAATGACTGATTCAGGTAGATTTAATTCAAAGACTGGGAGTGAGAAAAGAGATGCTAGCAAATTATCATATGGTTATCTGCTATCAAAGTACAAAAAGCAAAACAAAGACAGCAGAATCCACTGGTAAACAACTACCAACATAGAGGGTGACATTTTACTTCACTGAGGTTTCCTACTTTTAACGAAAGCCCCATGAGGAACTGGTACAGAAAAATGAAGAAGATGGATCTCCCAAACATACTAGCTAAAAGGTTAATAGCACTATCTCCTCACAATCTGCTATTTATTATAATTAACAAACTAAGTAAAATAAATTATTAAGTATCCAGAATGTGCTAAGCAGTGTTCACTTCTTACCCAGAAACTGCCTACATGAATAAGGAGACATGATGTTCTACTTTCTAAGTCTAATAAATATGGAAGACGACCACTATTTCATACATACAATTTGTCATGGACTCATGGGGGTTTCCTTTAAGTTCCTTATTCCCAATTTCTTTATGATTTAGTGTAGGTCACTATCCATGAGAAGTTTCTAGAGAAAGCGTTTCTATCACTAGCCTGTCTTAGGTACCAGGAACTAGCTCAGGGAGGTAAAAGAGAACAACCTTATTATTTCATTGTTGACCTGTGTTCATACTCTGTTCATATTAAATGGAGTCAGGTCTTGTTTTAATAAGACCCCTTGGTCTAAGGGTCAAAACTGGACTCTAGGGTAACCTCTGTTCCACACTGGATGTGTGACCTTAGACACACTTTAAAATCTTTGAGCTCACCTTCCTTACCTGCATCAAATGAAGACTGTGACAGTGCCTGTTCTAGGTACTCAACCACAAAATGGCTTTAAAGAGCAAGTGCAATTATACCACACCAAGTGTTTTGTGATGGTGCATGTTATTGAAATAGACTATTGCTGCCAGGACATTCAGTCATTTTGGCTTAAGATGGAAGGACAAAGGGGTTTCAATCAATGAATGAGTTCTGTACTGTCTACATCCTGTGCTAACAATAAAGTCAGCTTTCAACACCTCTCCACCTAACATGCACTGTAGTTGTATGACTGGAGGAGGCTATAGTCTGGGTTCCTTTTGTGCCCTGCTTATATGGCATGAGATAAACTGAACAGCAGGTCTAGGCAGTTTCTGGGCAGGGGCTTCCTTGTGAAGGTGGAGTAAATTAAGAGCACGGAGAAACCAAGAGGCCGTTCAGGGATCTTCAGAAGGAGCATTCTCATGAATATTCTATAGTTATCCCACTAAGTTAGGGCAGACTTCATTGTAAAGAGATAATCCAGGTGGAGGAAATGGCTTGGTCAGCTTGGCTCAGACTCTCCTGAGATCCAGGATATGTCTCCATGAGCCAACACTGTGTCAAGAACATTTGCTCCTTCCCAAGAAGGTAAAGCACAAGTTTAAGAACACCTTGCTTTGATTTCCCTTCCTTCATCTCTCCCTGTGCCTTGTCTGATGGTTCAATTTCACTGTGCTTAACTTCAAGGTTCACAGTATTCTCTCCTACACAAAAGAGTGGACGCTGTAGAGATCAGTTTCAAACGTGGACAGGAGTACAATAATGCCCATTTCTATTTTAAAATTTAAATTTTCTATTAAACGTGCATTTGCCTTCTTCCTAGACAGTCATAAGTGGATTGCCTTTTGCTTTTGCTTTTTCAACTCATAAAAATAGGAAAAGAAAATCTAGCTCAATGTAGGGAAATTCACACTGAACTTCAGGGCAGTTACCATCCAAAGAAATGGCAAAAAATACATCTGTCAATTAACAAACAGAGGAAAGCCAGATGTTACAGGACTCCCAGTAGAGAAATATTCTTCACAGTGGTCCAAGAAAGAGCATTGGCAGAGAAATTTGAATGTGTTGGGGACAGTAGGTGGTTTCTCTTTGAGGGTGCCTCATGTTTATTCACTACTTTGTATCTTAAAGCCATCCTTCTTCTCTCTGTCATGGGATTTTTACGGTCCTTCACACCCTTAACCACTAATCTACAGTTCTTTGTCAAACATCTTCACCTTTCAGGGTACAGCACGTGGGTCTGTTATATTGTCAGAAGAATGCCATGATGGGAATTGAAGTTGGTCTGACTTTAGGGTTCTCCTGATGTGATCTACTTTCTCTGCAGAGAAGTGTGTGCCATATAGCACTCCATATACAAAAAAGAGAGCACATTAGGCTCCATTGAACTGACTGTAGGTAGAGTGAGGGACCCAACAGTCAGGTTCAAGTATCCCTTCCCACAAGATTCTGTGGGCATAAGAAGAGTAATCCTTCTTAAATAAATAGCAAGCAAGGACCAAGGGACGCCAGCAGCCTTCTGACGGTCAGGTGGCACCTTTGATAATAGTATGTGGAGGGGAGGTCCTGTACGTACATGGCATATCTTGCAAATGATTTGGAGTTTCAGGCACAGGGTGCTCCTTATGTTGACTTTATATTTCTTAAATTAATCATTTACAATTTCATAGGTTTTAGTGGCTTACCCTCATTTAAGGCCTGGGCTTTCAATACCTGAGATTAAAGTTTTGGGGGATTCAAGACTGGACAGGGCAGGAAAGGCTGACCTCTGGGAAAGGCATATTCAGGCATGCTTGCAAGCCCTGAGTTGGAGGTTTGTTTCTCTCTTGGGAACACCTTAAGGGCCACGTTGGGGCCCCAGTCTGCAGGGTTGCAGTTACCTGCTCATACTTCTCCAGCTCCGTGTGGTAGATTTGTCTGATCTGTGAGAGTTTGGCTCTGTAATCGGAATGCTCCACTGAGTTGTCTGAACCTGCACCTCCAGACGCTGCTGCCGCAGCCGCCGCCGCTGCGGACCCTCCACCTTTTTCCGGCCCTGCCACCCCTTCCGCTAACAGCATGTTGTCCAGTCGCATCAGCTGGGGGTCTGTGGGCTCCTCTTCCTGCGCTCCTCGAATACTCAAAACTACAGGGAAAGACAAAGAGAAAGGAAAGCATTATCGCCCATCCAAGGGCAACAGTGAACAAAAGCAAAATATCAAAACCCTCAGCTGTGCCCCTCAGCTAAGCGGTCTTCTGGTTCACCTACAGTAATGGTGTGTGAGGATGGGAGAAGGGCAGGAAAAGAGGAACTGTAAGAATGAGGACTAGAATGTGCAAGGAGACACTTGTTATTTCCAATGAAGAGTTAACTCTGCTTACATGAGGTACAAGAAGAACAGCGGGTACAGGGCCAGGGGGAGGATGACAGGGTGTCAGTGCGGGATGGGTAAAGAGTTTTATTTTAGGAAGATGAAAAGGTTCTTGAAAGCCCAGTATAGTGCCCAGTATAGTGGGCCCATATAGAGTGCTGTAATCCCAGCACTCAGGTAGTAGAGGTAGGAGGGTCAGGAGGTCAACATCATCCTCTCTACTGTGTTAAAGGCCAGCCTGGGCTACATGAGGCCCTGTAGTCCACCCTCCCCCAAATCTTGAGATGGATGATGGTGATGGTCACATAACCATATGAATGTACTTAATGCCACTAAACTTCATGTTCGCAAATAGTCAAAATGGTAAATTTTACATTATGTTTGTGCTGCCATAGTAAAGTAAAAAATATTCATTATAACAGAATATGACTTTTAACTTTCATCTTCAAACTGCCAAATTTTAACTCAAGGAAACGCATTTCCTACTTTGTTTCTTACTTTTCATTTCTATATATGGCTTTCACTCTGGTTGACTTGCTTTGTAATACTGGATTAATCTATATTTTCATTTTCAAAATAGTTTAAGCTGGGTGAACCCAGTTCATGGAATGAAATCTTAAGACCTTTCCCCTGGACTAGCTGAGAGGGTAGAGAGACATGTGGAATACAACAAGGCAAATCGACCCCGGGTGGGTCGCGAGCTGCGCGAGCTGAGCTGAAAATTGAGATCCATCTGTTCCAGGTGATAAGCCCTCTGTCCCATGGGAAGTGAGAGTGAGACCTTTTTAACAAGGTGTTTTCATGAACTCAGCAAATCCAGGGTTCTGGTAGAACAGAGTTTCAGATAGAAATCTGGCTACTTTTATGTAAACACTATAGCCCTTGTAGGTGGGGTGGCTTGGACTGAGAAGGATCAAGTGATTTAGCAGAGCAGCTGAAAGGGAGAGAGCTTTGCACTTCCTGCACACAACCTGTCTTCAGATAAACAAACCACTCATCTAAATCCAGTTTTGTCATCAGCAAGCCAAGTCTTTATTGAGAGGGAACACAAATAATATTTTCAATTTTGAAAAAAACAAAACAAAACCTGAAAACATTTCTGTGACGTGCTTAATAGAGAAGAGGGCTGTCAGTCTGGAAGCCTGCCCTCACTTCCGGGTAGAGGTGACAAGATCTAAGTTCCAGGGGGCAGCAAGCACCGAACTGTGACAGCCAAGTGCTGCACACCCAGTGAGCACCAAGAGAAGGGACCTGTGCCAACTGTCTCTTGCATCCAGCTAGGCAGCCTTTCCACTCCCGGGCTGTGACATGGAAGGTGGGTCTGCACTCAATAGGAGAGGACACCACGACGCTCAGGCCATCCCATCATAGACAATGTCAGCACTGCTGCTGGCTGTGCCCAAGTGCTCCTGGCTCTCAACAGGCAAGGAGGCCACAACTTTGAAAGTTCATGTGGTGGCAGTGGAGACTAAAGAGGGTCAAAGGTACTCCTTGATGAAGTAAGAAAGAGTGGGTGGAAGGAAGAGAGGAAGAAAAGAAACCTGTGCATACATGCCACGTTTGGCATCTATTTGTGGTTTCCCCTTTTACATCGTAACTATTTCTCCACTAGCAAATCAAATTGCTACAGTGGAGATAACATAAGGTTACGTGACTGCAGAGGTTTATTTTGTGAGCTTTTTCTTTTCCCCAATGAAATTTTTCTCTGGTAGGCTCAGGAGTTGGGTAGGAAACTGCCCCTTTAACTGATGATTGAGGAATAAAGCCACGTTCTTCTCTGTTTTGCACAAAGTCCTCTGAAGAACTCATCGCCACTCACAGGGGTTCTTTAAGATACTGGATACTGCCACCACTTCCTGCATGCTAGGCCATTGGAGACCCAGAGAAGAATCCAACCCTCCACACCTGGCCTCAGAGCCCAGAAGCCCCTCCTTGCTCGTCTTTCACTTCTGCTGTCCAAGGAACTCCAAGGCAAAGGCACTCACTTGTGGAGTTTATAGGTGCTTTTGTTTATCTGGTGGGTTTTAATTGCTTTGTCAAAAAGATATTCATGAGTCATTCACAAATTTTCAAAATGGAATTACCTCTGAATTACAGTAACCTAATAAATTGTTTTATTTTAGCTTAATAATTCAAAATTTTGTTTTAAGGCAAAACTCTCCTTCCCTCCCTTCCTTTCTTTGTTTCCCTCCTATCTTTCAAGTCTCACTATGTAGCCAAGGCTGGCCTCAAGCTCACAATCACCATGCCTTAGCCTTCTGTGTATGCCAGGATTACAGAGATATGCCACCACACCTGGCTCTAAACGTAGTCTTCTGACACTCGTGTCTAATATATTCCGTTCAGAGGAGGCCCAAGCAAGCTCCAGGGGTTAAGAAAGTTTCCCACGATGTTAAAGTTACTAACATTTTGGCCATGTGGTTAACACTGCCAAAGGGATTTTCCTGGGTACTCGACAGTCTCTGTCCCTTATTGTTCACTTTCAATAACAGTGGCACAGTCTAAAAGTACCCGTCATCCAACAGTCAGGACTCACCCTCCCAAGACCAGCTAGGTTCTGCCTACTGAAAGGAAGGTCAAGCACCCACATCCTCCAATGTAGAAGGTGCCAAAGTTGGCGTCTCCCACTGTAGGCTCAAGCCTCTAACAAACCAGTTATGAGAGAAGGAACCAAGTGACAGAGATTGACACCCACGGAGCACAGATCGGATTGGCGAGTCCCAGTACTATTTCCCAGGTGCCTGACACTTGCTCTGAGAATATTCTGTCTTCTTGGACCAAGCTCAGCCATGCCGATGCACCACTGTTTTGAAACAATATCCAGAAGAGCAAACTCCTCTACATAAACTCTCCGCAGCCTAATGAATATTTTGCTTGCCCTTGAAATCTAACCTGCTTTAAATAAAGCAAGGACAGAAGTTGTTCATGCTGGGAAGGATGTAGAAAGGACAGCGACAACCCATGGTGGAACTTTCAGGATGCAAAACACTACTGCGCACTGTTTCCTTTGTTTAAAGCTACACTTAACTGGAAGATGGGAAGCAATATTGTTAGCATTTTGCTTAATCTTTACATCATTTTACAAATGCTTTAACCAAATGCTCTTTGAAGAAGAAATTTGGGCTTACTAAAATTTAATATAATTGGTTTCCAAAAGTGGCCAATAAGAAATTGGTGTGTAGAATTGTATAAATAGGTTCCACCAGAAATCTGAAGAAAATAAATGAATGAAAAGATGCAGATAATCAAAGCACAGACATCCCTCCCCCATTTGCAACACTTAAATTACCCTTTAATCATGAAGAGACAATGATGGACTATGTACAAGAATGAAATATAAATAGGAGAGCTCCTCATCTTCTGTACTCCACAAAAGGTTCTGGTAGCCCTGGGCTGTATATGGATATGGGCAGAGATGACCCCATAAAGAATCTCACGGGTCCATGTTTCTACCTAGAACAAGGAAGTTTCAGTGTACCACTATGAAAACGGGTATTGGGAATCACTGACCTGGAAACTGTTCACTGGTCAGTTTTCAAAAATTCCCACCAACATTAAATGAATAAATGAAAAAGGGTGACATGTCTAAGTGTAAGTGATGATACCTATGTATTGCTTAAAGTCAGTACTCTGGTGAGCAGAAGACAAAATGATTATTTAAAGTCCCTTTTTATTTCTCCAGCACCATGCAAGACTCAAATGAACCCTTGGCTGGGACACCAGAGATGTTAACACTCGCCCCTTCAAGATCCAATTTCAACCAGCAGAGTTGTTACCTAATCCAGCAGCCATCACAGATGATCAGGTTCCTGCCTCCCTGATGGGTGCCCTGTGCCCCTCCCTGTTGGAGGCTCTGTGCCCCTCCCTTCTTTTTCCCTCCTAAGCCCAAAAGCTCTTCCTGAAACAGGTTTAAAGGGCCCAATTCCTGTGTATGCCAGTGATATAGGGTTCTAACCATCCCATAGGCTGTATGCAGTATCAAGATATTTAATGCATTCAGCAGGAATTCTTAAGGAAGGCATTTCCTCTTCACTAATATACTGCCCCCCCCACCACCAACCCCAGTCAAGACAGAGACCAATTCAGGCAGGTAAGTGATTTACACAGAAGTTGTCACAGTCCTTTGGAAAACACCTGATGTCACATTCACATTGCCATCCCTCACCCTAGGTTTAATCCTTTGGTAAAACTCCCAAGATAAGGGGACACCACTGCACAGTCGGAGCTGCTTTTCACAACTGGCCTCCTACTGTTCCTGCTTTATTTATTTTTCCTTCACACAAAGAGAAAAACAAACCAAACCCAAAGGCACATTTAAGCCTTAGTGGGAGGGCTATGAGAAGGGTTTTTTGTCCTTGACTGAGCAACATGGGTCCGGAGTAGCTCCCAGTTGGTATCCACTAGAGGGCACTATTTCCCCACCAAGGACGGGTTCAGCCAGGAGGGTCCCACAGCCACCAGCATCTCCTTAGAACTGCTCAGATTCAATCTCCCAAGGGGAAAGCACATCTAAGGAGTGGATTGTTTCAGGCCTTGGAGCCTAAATTCACTCAGCTGAGAGTGATAAAGGGAGAACAGGAGAAGACAGACAGACGCTGGACAGACACATGGTTTAGGAAAGGCTTGAAGAAGTCTCCCCAGGGGGCCAAGGCAGCCAGGCAGAAGCTAAGTCTTTTCAGTCCTATGAGAAGGTGGCCTCATTCCCAAGTCACGCAGTCATCTCCCAGTCAGGCAGAACTCTAAGGTCAGGAGAAAGGGACAAACTGTCTTTGTA